CATGTCATTGAAAAGTTGCTTCATCTGTGAAAAGTATCTTTGAGGCAAAATTCAAATTATTTCTTAGAATATTAAGATACGATTCGCAAAAAACAACTCGCTTATGCATGTCTGGTTCACATAGAGCTTGAACTGGCCGGTGGTGAAAAGGATATAATAAATTATCATGGACAATCTTCCAAACAACACTATGGGACACATTTAAGTGCATTAGTAGTTATCTAAGGAGAGAACCAGGCCACTTCAAGGTCACTCCAGGCTACCACCGGGCTGCCGCCATCGGGAGCCGGCACCAGGTCTCCAGCAGCAGCAGCAGCTCCAAGATCACGCTGAAGAAGTGTCAGTGTGGTGCGGGGGTGGGGGATCTGGATTGCAGAAGAAGAAGCCGGCACCAGGTGCGTGCATAAGCAGCGGCGGGGGGCAGCGGGGTGTAGGCGTGAGAGGGGGCAGCAAGATGTGGGTGTCAGAGGGGGTATTTGGAATGCAGAACAAGAAGCCGGGGGGACTAAAAGTACTCATGGTAAAAATATTATTTAAAAAACATAAATCCCGTGTCGAATCGACACATATGTGTTGTTCGGTTTTAGCGTTTGCTTTGATACTGTCTTGGATGCATAAAAGTTTTATTTTTTAATGTAAATAAACATATTTCTCCAGCTTCCTATGAGAACGTGACTATAAAGTAAACAAAATTTAATCATAATCATTATTATCGCATAAAATAATATTACGCCGACAATTGAATATTTACGTATAAAATATGAGTTGGGTAAGGTTAGTTTATGCTAGTATTAGAGTATGCATATACAGAGTGTCCACCGAAAGGTATGTTTTAAATGGATTTTACATTTGACCTATTTGAAAAAATAATAGCAGCTATTTTTTATTGTAAAGGTTGGCATGTCTCACGTTCTTGGAAACAATGGTGATGTCATCACCATTTCCGGTCCAGATGTTGTTTTTATTACAGTTATGTAAACAAATGTGTGATTTATTACCTTTTTCTTGGAATTTTGTCGGGCTTTTAAGCAGTTATGTAAACAAACTTCAAAGGCGGTATGCGCCTTAAGTTTTTCTCGGAAATTGATATATAGATGTATTTCTTGGAAAGTACGTGACCAAAGCGTTGTTTATGTTATGTAAACAAATACATGATTTATTACCCTTTTCTTGGAATTTTGTCTGGCTTTTAAACAAGTTTCAACCTGTAGCTGTGGTCCTTGTAGATAAGCGGGTGATGAAATATTTCATAATGTTGCATAATGTTGTGCAATGGCTTTATCTGTCCAGCGTTTCAGAGGCTTTTGATGTAAAATTGGATATAACCGGAAATAACCGGTTATAACCGGAAATAGCCGAACCCGTCGACTATAACTGTGGGCTCGTGAAAAGGTCCCATTTGCCTTCGAAATTTGTTCGAGTGCACGTGATTGTTTTCTTTGCTTTTCAAAGTCGTGTTAAACTTTTTTTATTGAAATACAAAATGTCAGTTGCCGAGATCGAGTGTGATGTCAGCTGTAAAATTATTAAACTGACTAAAAAATCATTGACTCTGTTGAAGATCGATGACGAGATCAACCGACACATCAAAATTATAAATAAAAATATCGGTGTAATAAACGAGGCCATCAAAATTAAAATTCACAAAATTGATAAGAACGAGAATATATTCCGTTTGGAAAACAATTTGGCGGTGCTGAAATATTATCGTGAACAGTTAAAACAACTAAAAATTAAAAATAGTGTCCGGAGGTTCGGTAGTGCATCCCAACAAGAAGAATTTGGTATGGCAAGATGTAAAATCGTGCTTCAAGAGTCGTGTGCGGTCGGGAATCATCGTGAACGTTAGTCTCAAAGAACCTAAACAGTTTCTAAAAAAATCATTTCGTAGTTTTTCTGTTGTCACGGGACGCAAGAAAAATCCAACATTGCGCCCCGTGATTTTCTGCCAGGGGCCTTTTTGAACAGCAGGCTGCGGCGCACTCGACGTCCAGTCCGCAGTCCGACCGCTATTCATTAAATAACCGCCGTTTTAACGCCGCCGCTCCTCTGAATCTTAAATTGGGGGTGGCACGTTCCACCCCCGGCGCGATCGGACGTGCCCCGCTAGCTCCAAAGTCGGTGAGAACTCCCTCTCGTACGTGACAGCCACCGACGCCGTACGACGCAATGTACTCTGGGTCCATAGTCAGACGCGAAACCCGAAATCGAAATTCTTTTTCTAAAGTAGACCAAGTCTTCGAATTCTTTACTGAGTTATCCTAGGATAACTTGGGGGTGCGGCTATTTCCAGCTAACCTCAAACTCGGGCCTATGACCTCTTTTCTACTAGGTTTAGGGCTAATCTTTTCCCTGGGAGTGTCAAGTTTGTTTTACTCCCCTTTGTATTTCTTTTTGGCCTTAATTTTTTTCCCCAAGGAACTCTCTTTTTCCTTTGGCCTTTATTTTTTTCCAAGGAACTTTCTTTTTCCTTAATTTAATTTTTTTTTACTTCCCCTTTTTTTAACTTTACTTGTTTTTCTATCCAGAAAATCTTTATTACCCTCAGGTCCCAGACCTAGTAAAACGTATTCTTTAATTTTAACAGTACACCAGGAAAGCCAACCAAAGCCCCTGGGGAGCTCTATGCACATCGATACCTTGATGCCAACTGAGCTCTCGAGCCTGCGTACGGCTCGCTTTTATGCGTTTCGGTGCGGTAGAGCTAGGCTCCGCCCACCGCACCGAAAACTCGACCTTATGCGACACCGTGTTTTGCCTCGGTAGCTCACTTTCAGTCGAGACTTGACACAAGAAGCATCTCTGAGTTGGTCTTCACACTTGTATTATAGTGTTTGAATCGAATAGCCTCTCATTGTCCGCTCCTTTAGTGACGAGTAGTCGCTACCAATTTTTAAATAGTAGTAGTACTGAGTATCAGCGACCCTTCGGGGTATATTAAAGCTGTTCCCCTCAGCTTGTGGCACGGCTTGTCTGTCATTCCACAAAATAGGGAAAAAAGAATTCGTTAACAAGTTCCCCTTTACTTATTAATTAAGGGGAACCCTACACCTATCGTTCCACAACGCGAGCCGAACCCGACATCTGCAGAAGCAGCCGCGGCCGTGCAGAAACGCTTCCTGCACGTATCCAACGTGTCCTGGGGATTCTTAGGGATACCCCCAACTACGTCACCATCGCCAACGGGTCCGAAACCACCGCGTTCGTGGACACTATAAAAGCGAAAAATGCCTTAAAGGACTCGTTAATTAAAGTAAATTTAGTTTTTGAAGGAAATTTCGTAAAATTAAATGACGGGGAAGTAGATTTAAAATCATTCGGGACAAAAAACGAAATTATTGACTGCAGTACAAATATAAAACAGTGGTGGGAAGACAATGTTGTTCAACCTATACTACACAAACTAGAAAACTTTGAACATCGTAATAGCAGCTGGACTTTGTTGGAAATTATCGGGTTGCGTGTGAATATAAATAATTATTCACCGATTACCGTGGGCTCGTCAACGTACGTCGAGATGCCCGAGTTTATTAAAAGAAAAAAATGTGTTGTTAACGTAAAGAATAATGATGAATATTGTATTTTATGGAACATGGTCTCTGCTCTACATCCAGCTAAAAGAGATACAGCTAGAATTTCATCATATCCCGATTTTCGTGACATATTAAAATTTGATGGCATAGAATTTCCTATAACTTTGAAACAAATTCCAAAATTAGAGCGTCTAAATAACTTGGCAATTAACGTGTACGGCGTTGATAAGAAGGAAGTCCTACTGGTATGCTTGAGTAAAAACGATATCAAACGAGTTATAAATTTACTAATGGTCCCGGAAAATTCGGTTCAAGATAACGACGGCGACGAGACACCTGTTTATCACTTTGCGTGGATAAAAAACATGTCACGCTTATTAATCAAACAATTATCGAAACATAAGACTAAAAAATACATTTGCAATCGTTGTCTTAATCATTTCACAGAGCAGCGTCATTTAGATGATCATTTAATATATTGCATTTATAAAACAAATACTTGCAAAGTAGAACTACCAGGTGAGCAAGAAAAATTTTTTCAATTTAAAAATTATCGTTTTAAAGAGAAGGTACCGTTCGCCGTTTATGCCGATTTTGAATGCATTTTGGAACCGTGTGACGAGAACACTGATCAAAATTTAAATACTCAAAATGTACAAAAACATACCGCGTTTAGTGTCGCCTATTATCTTAAATGTTCATATGACGATAGTCTCTCGCGTTTTATATTGTATTGGGGTAGTTATTGCCAGCAGTGGTTCGTCCGGGAACTTGAACATATTGCCGACGAGGTGAATAACATCCTATCTCACCCGAAGCCCATGGAGCCTTTGACTGCCGCGCAAAAATTCGAACATGACAACGCGAAATTTTGTCACATTTGCGAAAAAACGTTTACCAGTTTCGATATCAAAATTATGGATCATTCACATCTAAATTCGGTCTACCGGGGGCCTTGTCATAATTCTTGTAACTTAAATTATACGGACAGTCACGTTATACCGGTCGCTTTTCATTGCTTGTCTTCTTACGATAGTCACTTAATCATACGTCACTTGGCTACGTCATTTGAGGGCAAACTTTTACCAATAAATAAGGAAAAATATATTTCCTTCACAAAAGACGTAAAGGATACCAGAATCAAATTGAGATTTATAGATTCTTTCCGGTTTATGGCTGACAAAATCGAAAAGTTGGCCCCTTACCTCGATGACAGCCAAAAAATAATCACTAAATCTCATTGTGATTCGGAGGAGACTTTCCGCCTTTTGACTAGGAAAGGTGTTTTTCCTTACGATTATCTAAATTCGTGGGAAAAATTAAATGACACGACATTACCGACTAAAGATGATTTTTATAGTAAACTGATTGACGAAACTATTTCAGACAGCGATTACGAGCACGCTACAAATGTCTGGAATACATTTAATATTCAAAATTTGGGGGAATTTTCGGACTTGTACCTGAAAACTGACGTTCTACTTTTGGCTGATATTTTCGAAAATTTCCGTGAAAATTGTCTAAAAACTTACGGTCTTGATCCTTTACATTATTACACCTCCCCCGGTCTGGCCTTTGATTCCATGCTCAAAATTACTAAACAGACATTAGAATTACTGACGGACATTGACAAAGTTTTGATGATCGAGAAGGGGATCCGAGGTGGCGTAGCCCAAGTGTCGAACCGGTACTCAAAGGCTAACAACAAGTACATGGGTGAGGCATACAATCCGGACGAACCCGATAAGTACATCATGTACTATGATGTAAATAACTTATACGGCGCGGCGATGTCTCTTCCCCTTCCAACCGGGGGATTCGAGTGGGTACCCGTCGATCAATTCTACAACTTGAATATAACCGATTTAGCAGATGATGCTGAAATCGGTTATATTTTAGAAGTGGACATTGAGTACCCGCCCGAACTTCATGAACTCCACAAAGACTTACCCCTGTGCCCGGAACAAATGGTTCCCCCAGGAGGCAAACAATCAAAATTACTGACAACACTTTTTTCGAAAACCGGTTACGTTATCCATTACAGACAATTGAAACGGTGTATTGAGCGGGGATTAAAGATTACTAAAGTACACAAAATTCTTAAATTCAACCAATCGGCTTGGTTACAAAAATACATAAATTTAAATACGGATTTACGGAAACAGGCGACTAACGAATTTGAGAAAAATTTCTATAAATTAATGAATAATTCTGTCTTTGGTAAAACCATGGAAAATGTGCGAAAACATAAAGACGTTAAACTGGTCACACAATGGGAGGGTCGATATGGGGCAAAAAATTTGATCGCGAAACCAAATTTTCACAGTTTAACAATTTTCGATGAAGACATGGTTATAGTAGAGATGAACAGACTCAAAATTAAGTTCAACAAGCCGATTTATGTTGGATTTAGTATTCTGGACCTTTCCAAAATTATACTTTACGATTTCCATTACGATTATATTAAACAAAATTTCGGCAATCAGGCTAAATTATTGTACACGGACACTGACAGTTTAATATACGAATTCACGGACATTGACATTTACGAGAGCATGAAGAGAGACATCCAGCTGTTTGATACATCAGACTACCCCGAAGATAATGCGTACGGTATGCCTCGCGTCAACAAAAAAGTACTAGGTCTTATGAAAGATGAAAGCTGTGGGAGAATAGTTACCGAGTATGCCGGGCTCAGAGCTAAAATGTACTCGTATAAAGTCGAGGGAAAACCCTCAAATATGCGTATCAAAGGACTTACTCGATCAGCCGTAAAACACATTACTTTCGAAGATTTCACGAATTGCCTATTTAATCAAAACACACTGGTTAAAGAGCAGAGACTTATACGTTCCAAACATCACGATTTATATACAATTAAACAAAATAAATTGGCTCTCAGTCCGTACGATGACAAGCGCATAATAAATTACGTCACCACAGACACGATCCCGTGGGGATATAATTTCCAACAAGCAGCGACTTGTTCGACCACTCCCATGGAGTTCTAAGTCGAAATAAATAGCGCGATATAGTAAACGTTGACATCATTTGTCTTTCTACCTTTGTTCGCGATGGCCGACTTAGACATTCAATTGCAATACGAACTTGTTAAAATTTCACAAAAGACTTACGAAGATTTCCTTCAAAAAGCCATTTTTGATGATAATTTTCAATTAATTGACAAAATTCTGGAAAAAATCGTGATTCCCGACCGTGCAATATATTGGCTAGCTTTGCGCGATAAATGTAACATCGGGTTGATGAAAAAAATCTTTGCCAAAAAACTTCAATATGATATATTTATCGAACAACTGCAAAATATTTTCCAAAAGGAATATATGTCTCATATTAGCCTCGATATTTTACGTCAAATTATAAAGAGTCATTATCCAATATTAAATTCATTTAATCGGTATTATTTGGAAAAATTATTGGTCAACGGTGATCCGTCATTGGTTGATCGACATAGTCAATGTTTCTCGGCAAAAAATATTTTTCTAAATTACAAAGAAATCGATTGGTCAATAGATAAGGCCGTTTGTGAGGCCGCCTACTTTACTCAATATAATTTTTTGGAAACTTTACACCGGGTAATTAAAGAAAATAATTTAATTTTTAAATTAAATGTAAAAACTAATGAAACACATAGGCAGCTGATGGTATGGCTCCAGGAGAACGTCTCCAAGGGTACCAATGGTCAAGGTGTTGGATGGTCATCTGGTCCAGACAGCAGCAAATGGCCATCAAAATTAGTTGGAGATTATTCTCAGACATTATATATGTTAAATAAATATTATTTGTAAATATATATTTTTTTGTTATTGTATTGTATATAGATATTGTTTTCTGTAAATATATTATATGTACAGAGTGACCCATTTGAAAGCGGGCCACCCTCATAACATTTTTATTTATGGAGCGATTTTGACGAAATTTTTTTTAAAATGTAGAGGGGGAAAGGTGTATTTTGGGGCTAAGCGGCGTCCAGTTCTTTTTTAAACTAAGGCCTACTAGATCACATTCAGAGTCTGAAAAATCCAGAATCCATATTAGCGATTTTTTTAGAAAAAATCTGCGTACGCCACTGGATTCGGCGCCCCCTGAAATGGATCTGTACCAAATTTCATGAAAAAATATTCAACATTAACGATTCTACGGCTAAATTGCTGTCAAATTGTTTATTATGCATTAAGAAGCTTTTTTTTAGTAACCCATGCGATAACAAATCAGTCACAACAGATATTTAATAACACATTTAATAGACATCCTTATATCAAAATACAATTAAACAAACAGAAAAACAAACGAGAAATTAATATAAAATTTACAAAAAACGCAGTAAAATAAAATTAAATTAACAGACATGAATTAACTTTAAATTCTATATTTTTCAACTAAAACTCCATTTAATTGAATGCATTTATTGTATCGTCTTTGAATGTGTGCCATAACATTAGACAATTGATATGTTGTAATTTCTTCTTTCGAGCAGTTCTGCATTCGTTGGACGAGTGTAGTAAACTTTTTCTTTAATGAACCCCCATAGAAAAAAATCTAGGGAGTTAAGTCGGGAGCCCTGGGAGGAAAGTACATTAATCTACTATTTCACCCTATCCACCGATTAGGAAAATTTTCCTTCAGCCACGCTCTCACAGTACTGGTGTTGTGGATAGGACAGCCACCCAAGAATTTACTTAAAAAAAAATGTAAAAAACTTTGGCTATTGCCTTCAGAAAAGGGACCAATTATTCTGGTATTTAATATACCTCACCATACGTTTACCTTCTGTGAATACTGTCGCCTACAGTTTATTACACATTCGGATTTTCTTGTGCCTAATACCTCGTGTTATGTGAATTTACTGTCCCATTGGTTGTAAATATTGCCTCGTCATTAAACAAAATTTTTTTTAGAAAATTTCTGTAATTAAGATATTCTCCTTGGCACTATAAATAAACAAATTCCATTCGTTTATCAATATGACCTTCGTCTAAGGTGTGAAGAAATTTCGCTTTAAAAGACTTCATATTATTGTATTTTTTAAGTTGTCTCCTTATTGCTTCCCGTGGTAACTGTAGGTTCAAACTAGCAATTCTAAAACTTTTTTTCGGATTTTCGGTGAAATAATTTTGAATTCGTTCATTGCTTCTTATTGGCTGTTGGACATTAATATATTTTTAAATGTGCTTAGATTCAGCTCCGTATTCATTAAAAATATTGCTCACTCGTTCAATGGTAGACTTGCTAATTAATATTTTGAAGTTCTAGATGTCTGTCATTAAAAATTCGAAATACTTCCTTTTTGGACCTGTCTCTGTCACCACAAAGTTTTACTATTTCAATCTTATGTTGTAACGTTAAATTACAGAGTCATACTTTTTGACAGTGCACTTAAGGAACAATACGTAAATTTCACTATTGAGCTAATAAATTTAACATATTCGTCTTTTGTTCAGTCATCTGCGACTTAGGTAGGTAATTGCAAAGCCTGCTATTAGGAATATTGTTCATCACTATGGAGCTGTATTATTAGAGCATGTTTAAATAAAACAAAGATTGCCACTATTATGAATAACTGTGGGATCGACATTATTTATTAAATTTTCTTAGTGACGAGGCAACATTTACAAAAATATTAATTCAATTAAATGGAGATTTAGTTGAAAGATCCAGAATTTAAAATTAATTCATGTGTGTTAATTTTATTTTATTGTATATTTTGTAAATTTTCTGTTAATTTCTCGTTTATTTTTCTATTTGTTTCATTGTATTTTGATATAGGGATGTCTATTAAATGTTGTTATTAAATACTTGTTGTGATTGATTTATTATCGCATGGGTTATTAGATAAAAAGCTTCTTAATGCATAATAAACAACTTGACAGCAATTTAGCCGTAGAATCATTAATGCTGAATATTTTTTCATGAAATTTGGTACAGATCCATTTCAGGAGATGCCGAATCCAGTGGCGTATACAGATTTTTTTTAAAAATCGCTAATATGGATTCTGGATTTTTCAGCCTCTAAATATGATCTAGTAGGCCTTGGTTTAAAAAAAAACTGATCGCCGCTTGGCCCCAAAATACACCTTTTCCCCCTCCACATTTCAAAACAAATTTCGTCAAAATTGCTCCATAAATAAAAATGTTATGAGGGTGGCCCGCTTTCAAATGGGTCACTGTATATTAAGGAAAAAAAATGTATTATTTAATTAATAAATTTATATATTTTTATATGTGTGTGTTATAAACATTAATATTTTTTTAAATATGAATGTGACAAGGAAAAAAAATAAAAAGTGAAAATATTCAATAAAACACATTAATATTCTTTAAATATGTGTGTGGCAAGGAAAAAATAAAAAAGAGAAAAATATTCAATAAAAAACATTTCAGTGTGGGATAAGTGGGGGTGAGGATAGACGTTGAGCATGTCTTAATATTAATGTTATATATCAGCTGATTGCAGTAAGTTATCATAAGAATTACTAAATATATATCAAGTGAATATCTATTGTGATGTCATTATTTTTCCCGTCTCTTACCCAAAATAGATACCTTCAATCATATTATTTTATGCTTGTTTTAATGTCTTTATTTCATCTTACCTTTACTGTTTCAATATATTAGGAGAATAATATTCTGATATCAAATTTTGAATGTCGAAATGTATAAAAAAATAGTAGTCATGTGGTTAAAGACAATATCTGAAACGAGTATGTCGCTGATTTTACTGTATAACTTGTATTTGATATGCACAATCATACTGTTAAGTCTGTTCCAAGAGTTTAAATAATCTAAGGAAATATGTTTCTTCGTTAAATATTTGATGCACCTCTTTCGAGTCAAGTTGAAATTTATTGATTCATTCAATTTCATGGCTGACAAAATCGATACATGAAGTTAAGCTTTACAGTTTACCATCTTAAATAGAACTCATTCAGTAAATCTTGATTTTACTGCTTCTTCCATCTTTAGAGAAGAAAACATATTTTTCTCCTTATTTAACAGTGCAATTTAACGATCGAAAGAGAATGAATTAAAAGTGAATCATATCCATGTACTTGTTCTTTCATTTTTATATACACGATGATTATAACCTATTTGTTGTTTCATATTTTTTAGTATCTCACTAACATTCTGATATCATAAATAACTTTTCAGATAATCACATAAAATGAATAATTGCATGTAACTGTATGGTAAGAAAGTTTCACGTCAACGAATGTTGTAAATTAACACTGATTCTTCTGTAAAACGGATACAAACCAGCGATTACAGAAGTCCTTTTAGATTATTGCAGCTAGTATTTGTTTAAAGTGTCATTCATCAGTTACGTGACCCTCTTCACTAGCAAATTACATCTCACCGACACTAGTCAGGCGAAGTACAAAATGGAAGAATGAATTTAAAAACTGTACATCCCTCATTATAATGCTGTTATCAATAAAAAGAAATGAGTGGTGGAGGGAGAAATACAAGCTCTCCTCTAGGATTTTTTTTAGGTTCCTTACTTTTCTATCGAACAATTATATATAACGTTTAAAAAATCCATCTTTACGATGATATATGATATTTGATATGAGAAACCTTTTATTCTAATTTAAATCTGATCTTATCAAATTCCAGGACAAATGTTGGAACTGATAAAGACATATAGGTATGTCAAGACAGATATAATTAAAATGGTATATTGATATCTTGATGATAAGTGTATATATGACATAATATCCTGTACATAGTTCATTGGACTAAAGATATACCATATGCATATTAATATATATAATAGAAAAAAAAACGAATATTTATTTAGACAGTTTAATTTTATATGGTTTTTCTTTGAATCAAGTTATGAATATTTGAGATAAAATATAACTATGTTCACTGTATGTTACCTGAAGTAGCTGATTCAAATATGTTCAATTAATACAATTATCTGATTGAGTCAGCGTAGTATGTACGAGGCTTTGTTCTAAAGTAACATCATGTACATCACACTAAGTTCGATTATCACTTAGATACATCACCGACCTATAGTAAAAGTATAGTAACTGTTTTTTAAATGGATGGTAAGCATGTTCTGGTTTGACTAAACATATTTTTTTTCAGACTTATGACTCATTCAAATATTATCTGACTTCTCCTACCAACATAATAATAGTATTTATTTTAATATTTTAATCTCGTAAGCCTCCATCTGTTTATTCTGTTTTGATTTTCCATTCAATGGGTCTCTGTTCTGTTTCTCTATTAGTCACGAACAGACTATTGCTTTTTCTCTTTTCAGTCATTTAAGGTTAGCAGTTAAAAGCAGTCACCTTGGTTATTCATCTTCTGGCTATTCTCATCAAGTCTTCATATTTCCGAGTATTAAGTAAAAAATCTTATGTTGTGAAGGTGAACTAAGCATAAATGGCATCCCAGATATGAAATTTTAATCTCGAACCCATTTCAGCTGATCATGAATCTCATCACTTGGCCTCATTGTTGTCCTCACTTGTCCTCACTTTCCCTAATTGTTGTCCTCACTTGTCCTCAATGTTGTCCTCACTTGTCCTCATTGTTGTCCTCATTTGTCCTCACTTGTCCTCACTTTCCCTAATTGTTGTCCTCACTTGTCCTCAATGTTGTCCTCACTTGTCCTCAATGTTGGCCTCACTTGTCCTCACTTGTCCTCAATGTTGTCCTCACTTGTCCTCAATGTTGGCCTCACTTGTCCTCACTTGTCCTCAATGTTGGCCTCACTTGTCCTCAA